GCTGAGGCGCGCTGAGGCGGCCGGGCCGGGAGGCAGGCGGCGGCGCGGCACTCTCCACTCCACTCTCGAGTCTCCGAGGAAATCATTGATAATGCAGCGACGCCCGGGTGGCGCGGGGCGGGGCGGGTAGTGCGTGTCACTGACGACGTCCTGATCGCTCCGCGTCCAGCCGGGCCCAGCTCGCGTGTCACTCGCCACTGCCGCCGCTCCTCACGGCCCACTCGTCCGCCTCGCCCCGCCCAGCCCGATGCATGCTCGAGGTAAATCCGGCCGGATCTGAAGCGGTCGAGCGTCCGGCGGGGCTGGGCTGGGGCCGGCCGAGGGTAGGGTGGGTCCAATTAAAGAGCATTAACTGTGATAACGCCGGAGTAGGGTCCAGCAAGGCCCGCCGGGGCTGACTGCCCGCTTGACCTGGTTGAGGTGTTGGGGAGGGGGGGGATTACACGTTCAATTGTTCCCGCATCACAACGCGACGATGAAGAGAGACGATGAGAGAGACGGCGAGAGAAAGAGAGAGAGGAGGTCCAAGGAAGGATCGCCGGGCCGGGGCAGGCCCCAGCTCAAGCAATTGCTAAACGACAGACATCCGCTGAAGTCTCGTCCACAAACAGTCTGCCGGCGGCGGGGCGCGGCGGGGCGGGGGGTCCCCAAGCAGGGCTCCACGATGCTGGTTGTCAATCACCGAGCGCTCGGGCCGCGCGGGCCGCAGGGGTGTCGCGGCGACGATTAGGAAGTGTCCCCGGGCCGCGGTGCTGCGGGCGGGAGCAGCGAGAGAGCACCCCGCCAGCCGCTTCCTTAATAAAGCCCTTCGCACAGCATCCGATCTGGAGCAGCATCCTGGCCCTGGGGACGGGGCCTGCCGGGCAGCACGCCGGGGCAGCAGCACCCAGGACCCGTCGCCCGATGGCCGGCCATATATTTCCCCTGGAAATAATAAGACGGAGGTGTCGCGGCAAGAGCTTTCCTCTGCCTCGCCACATTTTCATTTCCTGGTACAATAGTTCATTAAAAAGGTGTTTGAGAGACTATTAGGAGGCGATATTACTCCTCCGAGAGCCGTTGGCCGCCCCTCGCCTCCCCTCCCGGGGGCTCCTGGTATTAAGGAGGGGAGGCTGCCGGAGGCTGCCACGGGAGGGCGGGGCGGGCCGGAGAGGCTGGAAATTGCGGAGCAGCAGAGAGGAGAGGAGGAGGATGCCGCGCCGCGGGGAAGGGGGAGAGGAGGGAGTGCGAGCGAGAGGGAAAACAACAAAACTTGCTTTCCTGAAAGCGGGAGGGGGTGGAAAGACAAGGAGGGCGAGATACCGCAAGAAAGCAAAGGTGGCGAAACATCGCCATTGTCGGGAGCATAAAGCAACTTCAAGCGCCGGGGAGGCGAGGCCCCCGCGAGTGGTGGAAAAATGCGAATGCGACGCGCCAATCTAAAATTCGTTATTTCGAAAAGTGCCGTGTCTTTCTCTTTCCCTCTTTATTTTCTTCATCCCCCTTCTTTTTCCGCCCCTCCGCCCCAAAGTCTCATCTGCGGGCCCCGCAAAGTGAGCTTCCTCGATGCCTCGCTGCACCGCAGATAGGCGGAGAGCGTGCCGCCCGTCCTGCGCCGCGGACTATCGCCAAGCAGAGGGCGCCGCCGCTTGCTCTGCTGGCCTCCGCATCGCCACACAGCGCTTCGACAGCGTTATTTTCAGTGTGGCTGCATGAGTGATGGATGAATTTTAAAAACGCGGGTCCCATGAATATGGAGTCACCCTCCTCTTGCTTGCTTAGCTTTTTTTTTGGCTCTGCCCACACCCACACTTTGCTCTCTACACACATAGTCAGAAGCACACATAACACACACACACACACACACACACACACACACACACACACACACACACACACACACACACACACACAGCCGCGTGCTCGTCGCGGGGGAATACGGTGTTAGTTTTCATACGGGGAGCAGAGTGCGTTATGAGTGCGGCGGAGACCGCAGGGAACCCAAGCCCGGCGCGGCTTCTCCCCGGGGGAATGCCAAGGAGGTACCGTGCGGCGAAATCAAAACCGCCCCGTGTATCGTCGCGATGAGGGAGGGGCACTGGAGGGGGA